AATGGGTTATGCAACTTACGATTACTATCACGTGGCGCGCTCCTTTTTGAGAGCTATGCGGTCTCGTCTTGTGAATTAAAATTAATATCTGATGAAGTTTATCGACCCACTTGAATTCCGATCTATATTTTTCACCACAGTACATATGTGATTCATAAGAAATTTCTTTGACAAAGACTATTAGTGTACAGTGTACACTCATTTTCTGTTTTACTATAGATAATCATAAATGGTGGCATGGAAGATCGGAGGAAGGGACGCGTTTAAAAAAATGAATTTTCACATAATATTTTTTGTTTCAACTTTAAAACATGAAGCGCAAATGTTGTCGTAGAGTCCGGGAATTCTATGCAAGGTGTAATTCCTAAGACCAAGTAAAAAAAATATTACTGTTTTGTTTTAAAATTTTAAATATTATATCGGGGTCACCTTCAGATACACTTTTGTCATGTAACATCACAATTATAATCAAGCTATTTTTTACCATAATATACTAGAAAAAAGGCATAGTTTAGCGTGTAATTTTTAGCTACCATTTGTTGCACTAACGTCTATCACAATCTATTTGTATCGTAGTTTCAAGGCAATTGGCACCTAGCTCTCTAACAATAAGCACTTTAAAACCGTAGCAAATTTTCGTCATCTGTGCTAAATTAAATTGGACCTTGTACCGCTGTAATAAGCGTGACGTTAGCGGGTTTATTAGTGAGTGCAGTTCTAACCTTGCCGCCTCGTCGACTCCCGCGCATGATCGAGTTGACAGTGTCATAATGGATCGGAATTACCTCCCGCCTTACCCAGGTAGTTTAAAATTTATTATATTGCAACTTCCTGTATAGCGTATACATTTTTTTATAAAATCTATAAAACAATTATTTTTACTATCTGTTACTAAGGTAAGAATCGTTTTAAATCGGTTAATGTTATAGTACCTCTATGTATCTATTAAATTATAACTTATCCAAGTTTTCACTCAATGAATATTCACCATTAAAGGTGTGGCTACACCTTTAAGCCATAAGTATCACATATTCTATCAGAATTTGTTTGCTTTCACCTCTCGAGGATGTGTCGTAATCGATTCGATATTTCCCCGTTTGCGAATGTTGATTTTTATTACCTTGTATTAATCGATTTATGTTAATCTTAAAATCGCATAAAGTAAGGGTAAATTATCGAGGATACAAATATTATTGCTGATGTTATCGAATTTCTTTTAAATTAATATCAACGTAATCCAAATCAAGAAAAAATCAAATTCGCTTTGATTTATATTTATAATCTGTAGTCAATAAGAATTACAGCTAGGACCTTTCTTGACCCAGTATTTTGCTCGAAATAGGTTTAATATAATTATTTATCAAACACGTCATTAGATAACCTCATTAGGTCAATTATTCAAATTACGTTTTAAAATTATGTAATGAGTTTAATTAAAATCGATGAAACTCGTTATACTGGTCATATTGTGGTGAAATTTACTTTTATGAGATCACCAACCAGAGATTAAGTTGTACATATCGACAGTGTAGTGATTAAACTGTACTCTGTCTTTATATATCTATATTGTAATATCTGTGGTTTTACGATTTACTTTTAAAAATAGAACAAATTATTTTCATCGCCTTCAACGCTTCCGTTTTGTACGTATTCTTTATACGGTAAACGGTTATTAGGTAAATTTGAAAAAATCGAATAGTTATTGTTTCCTCTATTGTCTATGACCACAACTATACTTTATGTGTATTGTATACACACTATAGTCTCTAGAACGGGAAGAAGTAATGGATTCTGATGGACGACGTCCACGGTACATAAATTAGTTTCCTGCGGAAAGCAAATTGGTTCAATATCAAAACTGGTACTCGAAACAATTTTGCGTCTCGATGACTAATCCTGCCTGTGAGTTATCTTAAATACACTTGCGGGTACAAATTGGAACGCTTTCCAAAAACCCTTTTTTCATGCAAACTTAAAAAAATATATTTAATTACGCCAGTATTCCAGATTTAAGAATATAATTTTCCCAGTGTAATTATCTTACAACAGCATGTCAGGCACGCGAAAGACCGTAATGGTTTTATAAAACAACTTGGATTATTTTAAAAATACGAATGCATACTAAATACCATTTTCAAAACTAAAGACCTCGCTAGTGTATGCAATAAAATTATTAAACCGAAACGAAACCATATATGGTTGGCAAACTTTTGCGTTTGATGTATTGATTTATAAAAGCTATCAAAACTTTGCAAAACGGTTTTGTCGCGCTTGCGCAATACGTATCACAAAATTTTTCTTTAATAAGATATAAAATAATATGGTGTTCCTTAAATCCCAATTATAAAAAAATGCTTCAAAATATTATCCTTAAAATGTAATTCTTTAAACACATTCAACAACGGAAACATTTTGAAATATATAATCGTATCTTTCTACAAGTCATTAAATATTATTTTAGTTTCAGTATTTGTCTAGAAATCCTTTAGATTACGCATCAGACAAGTTCATGGACCCAGTGACATTAACAATGCTATTTTAAACTCGACTAAGCTGTACATATCTGTTCAAACCATGTTCAAACATTTAGGATATACTTAAATGAATGTTTACTATACAACCATATTTTCTATTTAAATAAAAATCAGTTTCGTAGGTTTTTTCCACTCACAAAGTTAAAATTACTGGCAACAAATTTAATGAAAGGAAATTATTTAATTATTGAGTAATTTGTGTTAATCTTTAATTGAGTGCTTTTCAGATTTACGGGTGTTGTTACGATAACTTATATGACTCTTCAAAGTGCTTGAAAGTATTTTGTCTCATTTTAATTCAATATAAAATCAAGTAAGTAAATACTTAAGTTCTCTAAAATATTAACTTCTATCTTTTATGCTATTACTCTTATAAACAATTTGTTTCATTTAGAAATTGATCGTTTATCGAGAGATTGGTTTAGTTCATATCCGCTTTCAAGTAATCGCGAAGTCCCGACTTTGTACTTATATTTTCTATAATTATTAACAATGATAAATGTTATTGGCGTAAATATTATAAGCAATCCATATTTAACGTCTTTCGACGTATGAACGCGACTTCGTACATAAATAGGAACTGACTATATTATATAAATATTAAAGTCTTCTACTTTTTTCATATATTCTGATACCAGAAGGGATCCCGCAATACCCAAATGCCTATCGGGTATGTGATGTACTAAAAAGTTTGGGATATCTGAGGATTCATTTGAAGACCTTTTGAAGACTGTTTCGGCCCTTGGAGACCAATCAAGGCCCGCAGGATTTGTTGCGGATGGCACTGGGGTTTTTCTACTTTAATCTTTGTTTCCCAGAGAAATTATTGTATTTTTGATTACTATCAACAACTTTCAAATGTCGAAATCTAAGGATACATCCCGACTTTTTTTATACTCTATACCTTATTACGTATTTAAGTATGGACCGGGTAGCCAATCAGCATTTTTTATTGTTCAAATGAAATTCCGAAGTAACTAAGTATTTATGTTAAAGGCGAATGAATCTCTCTTCTAGAAACTAGCTTAGGGCCTAATAGCATCAAATTATCATAAGCGAGTGTTGCATTAACAAACGCTGCATTACATTAACATTAGTGGGTATGTTGGTTGGTTTTCTGCCAGCATTATTTGGCATTTGAGGTCGACAATTGTGGCTTAGACTTTATGTTATGTAATGTCAATAACTTACATAAGAGCACTATAGTGTATCTAACATATCACGTAAAACATTTTGAAAAGTATAAATCAATCGATATAATTACTATGGTTTCCAAGTACAAAATGGTAGACACCGGGTTAGTTTAAAAGACTTATAATCATAATAATTTCACGTACATTTTAGTCTTGACGTCAACCATTTCAAGGTTGATAAATTCACGCACACAATTTAAATATTATTTACTTTCTTAGCGATTTATAGTTATATTATATGTAAATGCGTAACTACTTAGATGTGTTTGGCTTAATTATTACCAATTATTGTAGCTCATTGTAGCTTAGGTAAAACTATAAATGATTATCAAATATTAATATCTAACTATAAAAAAGTTACTGAACGGTGAACGTGTAAATACACAGAGACTCGAGTCTTCCTTGTGATATAAAGACTTTATTTATATTATGTAAATGCGTTTGCAGTCTATTTCTGTTTGAACGTTCGCCTTGAATGCTACTATACAAATATAGAACAGTCACACATAATAACACGTAAATTCTATTCATCTTTTACTCATATATATTATTCATAACTTGAATCCTTTCACTTTATAATAGTGTCGCATAGTATAGAAAATATCTAATGTAAGACAAAAAAAATATGTGCTTATCGGCAACAATTAATTTACATGCTTATCAGGCGGTTTGGTACGTTTAACCCTGTTAATTGTAGCAAACCATATTAGAAGACTAGTTAAAATATTTTTCTGTGGTATAAATGCGCTAGCTATAAATCTTGATACGAAAATCTAAACTGTAAACGTTATTAAAATTATATAACTTTCGTTTTTATTTATCTATTGTTAATAACCACGAAAGCTATATTTTACAAGGTTACAGCAAATACCAAGTCAAGGTTCAAAATAAATTGGCCAACCACGAATAAATATTTATCGTTAGTTTTTATATAAAACGTACCTGAGTACGTATATAATCATCATCGCAATCATCACTTACAATAAATTATATTATCCTATAAACAATTAAACACCTTCGTCAAACAAAGACGTATGTATGATCACAGTAGCAAATAACCGAGTTATCTAAAGAACTCCTTAAAATCCTACCTCCAGATGTCATATTCAGATAATATACTGCTTTAGCTATAACGAGCACAGATAGTTCTTTTTGTGTTTTTAAAGTTATGTATGTCTTCATAAAGCTAAATAGAATTTGAAAATATTTATAGGCTTCATCAAATATAAGTGTATTAAGTTAAATAATTAACATTATCTTTTGTTCCTAACAGCGGTATCTGCGCGATGGTCGGCGCTCCGAGCGGCTGCAATACGTCGCGGCGGCGCACGCCGATTGCGCCGCGAGATTGCAGCACTGCGCGAGACACTTGACGAGGTCTGTGAGCCTGGAGATTGCGCTCCCCAGCCGCACACCAGAGCTCAGTTACACAGACGGATTGAAGAACTCAAGGTACATTATTAAATTACAATAAATCTAGTATCTACGTGGTTGGGGCGAGCTGCTGGTTGGGGCAGGTTCATTGCTGCTAGAAGAGAATTCTTACCAATTCTTAAAAGGCCGGCAACGCACTCGCGAGCCCTCTGGCATTGAGAGTGTCCATGGGCGGCGGTATCACTTAACATCAGGTGTACCTCCTGCTAATACAACTCAAGAAGCACTTGTTGTTATGGTAATCGAACCAGATGCTTAGGGATTAAAAATACCCTTGATACGTAATTAAAGCAATTGATTATAGCAAAATTTGAGTCACAATTCGTTTTTCAAAGGTTTTTGGCTTAAACGTTCTAAGCTCAAACCCAAGAAAACTCAACTCAAAAAAATACAGAAGTAGTAATAAAAAAGTTTTGAAAGTAAAGTGGTTTAATGTACTTTATCTATTCGTTTGTATGTTTATAGGAACGTCTGTCACGTCTGCTTGAATGCAAGGTCTCAATGCTGAAACTGACGGTTTCCGTTCGACGTGCACTTGGCGAATTGGAAACTGATGAATGCGGCCTTACTACAGACTTGACAGCTTTATTAGCCGCTTGGGACGACGCACACCAACGGTTTGTAATATTTTTACCATTTTGATCAGTTAAGAAATAAACTAAACTAAAAACGTGAATCAAATAATTGGTTCAATAACATTTAAGAGATGTTAAAACATTTTTTCTTTATGAAATTTGAAATTCTAGACTAGATTGTGCTTTAAGATAAGTATTGCATTCAGAGCGACGAACTAACTCTTCCAGCTGTCAAAATCCCATGACCACATGACAGAAGAGTGTCATTTGGCTGGACTTGAATCTGACTTAAGACATAAGTGCCTTTCTTTTCTACCCAGGTTTTGTACTAAGACCCATATTAGGAGGCGAGACAATTGAAATTTAACAATACGTTTATTACCGATGCGTGCGAATTAGAAAATTTAATGGTTCGTGTGAAAATGAAACGAGCCTTATCGGTCCATCGTTTCGTGACAATTTTAATTGGGATCATTTATTAAACCATTTGTAGTTCTATAAAGATATGTTTGTGTTTTTACAGCACATCAAGTGAATTACTTTCGCTAGAAAAAGCGGTGAGTGCTTGGGCAGATTGGGAGAATGCGCTTCGTGAATTGCAAGGAGCATTGCGTGGTGACTTGACTACGCTGCAGAATTTACGCGATAAAGGATCTAAGATTGAAGATCAAAGCGAAGTGGCCGCTCAAATCAAACAGCTGGCTGCTTCCTTGATTGACAAGAAGAAGGTAAACATATAAAACATTAACAACAATGACAACAATTATCAGGTTTTTTAAATAAAATAGTGAAATGAGGAAAGTAATTTATTTCCCCAAAGTACATAAAAAGCTGCTTAGTAAAACAAAAAAGAACACGAGCATAAATGTACCATAAACTTAAATTTCTTAATTAATGACACGAGTGATAAGGCAAAACATTTAACAGTTTTTTTAAATCTCATAGAATGGTTTTGGTGAATAAGTTGTTATATGACTTCTCTCTAGACATATATATACTAGTTCCCTACACATGTTTAGTAATATGACATAAATGTAGAACATAAATGCTATGCACATGTATATTAAGGGCATCGTATATTATAGAGCCGGGTTTTGTGAACATATAATTTCCTGGCCATTAATATAGGCATAATAGTTAAAGCCTACATATACATACATATCGTTAGGTTTTTCTACGACACCTTTATATTCTTTCCTATATCTTGTATGTGTACCTACAATATTTTTTATTACAGGGTGGTTCCACATGCGACTCGCTCTCAGATTCCGGAATATCGGATGGTGATAGTGAAAATGCAGGCGGACGTGCTCGCCGATTAAGCGCTCTACGTGAGTTGGCCAAGCGCTTGCAGGCGGCTCTAGCACCGAACTCGCCTGCTCATCGAGCTATTACTAAGGTACAGATAACTAATATACGAGAAAAAAGTTATTTTAGTAATGGCCTGGATGGTTTTTATATTTAGTTCAAAAAAAAACTTGGGTAAATATCTTGAAGGATTATTACCTAGCCTTTAAGAAAAATTGCTAAGAAAGAAACGAAAGCACTGGTCAATTACACGATACACTTAGCTTTTTTCGTATCTTTCCAAAATTATTAAAGTTTTTTTCTATGAATCCATTTTTTATTTCAGCGTATGGAACAGACAGAGAACGAAGTGAAAATTTTGCAAGAATCCTGTCGCGCTTTAGTGGAACAAAGCATTCCCGATCTTAAAATCGAAGATGATACGTAAGTTTTATGTTTTTTTAATTATGTTCAAAATTTAATATTTTATAAAGGGTTCTTCCAAGCCCATTTATATTTATAAGATTTAGTTAAAATAAAAAAAAGATTATCATATTGTATTCAAAAGTTAAACGAAATTAACCAATACCAATTTAAAATACCGACCTACACAGGAAATATAATGGAAATGTTTTTTCAGTGATCAAGCCGTCATTGTAACCAGCAAGACTGGCTCTGGCGATCCAGACTATAATCCTCGCGGCGGATGGGTGTGGCGTGTACTACGTTCATCTATTCCCATTCAACTATGCCTTGTGGCTTTACTTCTAGCCGCGTGGCTCGTAGAACGGCCAAGATGTTGTGACGCACTGAATTCATTAGCGCAAACATTGACGCCGCAACTGCGTTATGTTCGTGGACCTCCACCAGTGTGAGCATTGCATAAGACCGTCCATAGACAAAAGATACGGCGAATCATACAATAGAGTATGGAAATATTAAGCACGCGACTGAAATATCACGCTAAAATCTTGTTTATGAGGTCTATGGATTAGGAAGATGACTTTGACAGCTGTCAATTTGAAACTTACTCGAATACCTTATTGTACGTACTTGATTATAATGAAGTTATGCTGCCTTCCACGCATTAACAAATACTCGCATAAGAAACGCGTAAGGTTTAATAATTAAGCGTGGATTCCAAAATTTGCAATTGCAATAAAAATATGCTAATTGTTAGGAGTAGATAAGAAAACAGTGAAAAAATATTCTTAAAATGACGAAAAAAAAATCCAGGCATGTACTAAGATAATAAAATTCGTAAAAACCATTAAATTGGTTTAAGGTTGTGACATGAAACATCAAGTTGTGTTACTTTTATATTTTTGTGGTTGGATGAGTGGTTTTGTCTGCCCACAGACGAAATATATAACGTCTGTGGTCGAATGTTTGTGTGAATGATTAAACTAATGAGGTTTGCAGACTTTGACGCATTATTTTTAAAACTACATTAAACAACTGAGAAAGTCTGTGAGTTTGGATCTAACATTGTATTTATTTATGTTGACATAAGCGACCCTTTTTTTTTAATCGCTGTCAATCAATGTCAAGAACTAAATTCGAAAAAATATCATCTGTATCAGATGCCGTTCAAACTAGGTAGTTTACTAACGTGACAGTTAGGTTCGCTTTCAATAAGCATCTAAAGCCAAAATCAAGTCTTGACGGTTATAAATGCAGAATAAAACAGGTCGTAAAACTAGATATTGGCTTAAGATACTTATTGAATGTAACCATAATTTAGTTAAGCCTACTTTAGTACAATTATTTAAGAAAGTGTGGAGTGCGCCATGGGTGACTCTTTCTATGTACCTTAATAGATTTCTCGAATTGCTATTTTTATCTATGACTCAAGCCGATTTAAATGATCTGGACATAATTTACATTACGGCGGTTGTACACTCTGCGAGAGTTTCCACCTCTCGAAGTCTTGGCGGAAGCAGTTTTTACCCTCATATTAACTGCTTAACTGAAAACACCATTAACAAGTCGTTTGACTCGGACCAAAAATCAAGCATCATATACTTCGCTCTCGGCCGGTAATAAGATATCTTGGCGAGTTTGTACAACCGCCATTATGGCAACAAAATATTAGATCGTGTTTAAAGACGTATTGTTTAGAGCAGTTATATCGGCTTTCTTTACATACATATTTAAAACTATATTACCATTTTGGGGTGTTTATGCGAAAAGAGGCCTTATTAAAATAAAAAATTGAAGACTGAGTAAGAAATATCATTTAATTAATCAATATTACATTTACAATAGTATTTACATGACAAATGGTTTCAATTAAGGTGTTTCGTCGTTACATAAAGTCTTCATGAAGTAAAACATTGTGTAGTAACTCCGAAATTTGATTTTGTTTTGGTCACCTAATTCAATAATATATATTGATTTTGCTAATTCTCTGATTGAAATAGTATTAACTCCCATATATTGTTATAATGTTGTTATTTAATTTAATATATTGAAATTGAATTAGTGTTTATTTATAATTCAATTCATATTATACATTCTTATATAAAAATACCATTTGAATATTGTTATAATGTCAACGATTATGATAGTCAAGCAATTTGCAAGACATAAATAAAATTTTATTGTAGACTATATATTTTGCCATACCATTTTTATAATCTATGAATTAAAAAGTTTATACAACATTCAAGAGTTTTTAAAGTAATTGCCAACAGAAGACTAGAATTTTAGTCTAAACTATATAAATAGAAGCATATTAAAATATGTTTTGTGGTGTGTTGTGTGCTTTTGACATACTTAAGAAAGTACTGACAATATTTTTATATAATATGTTGAATTTACAAGTAAATTGCATGTGGCTTTAATACTGACATTTCGATGAAAATAGTTTTTATGCCACATAAGATTTTTAAACTAAAAAACCTTGTTATGATTGTATTTGTGTGTATGGCGCATTCTTATGAATGTAATACGATTATTTAAGTTATATCTCTGTAGCGATAGATAACTAAGGAAAAATTGAAAAAAAAGTTTAAAAGTAAATGACCGCCAGTATAAAAAATGTTTATACTAAGACAAATAATTGCTGCAGAGAAAGTAATTTTTTTAAATAATTCACTTAAGGCGGTTACTGCCTAAATAGTGTGTCATATTTCTTTAAGCTTTTTTATCTTAATTTTGATTTAGCTTGTAGAGAGTCTGATCATGCTATTAATGTGCATTTAATTTTGTAACAATGGAATGGATTAATGTAAAGTATGTTGGCTTTTTGGAATGGTGAATAAAAATTGGTTTTCATTTTTAAATTGTGTTTTATTAATATTGTTACGAGCTAGGGGATCGGATAGAAAATGCCATAGATCTTCAAAGGTTTATTTTTAAATATTGTGTAAACTAATTCATCGTTGATTGAATTAGTTTACACAATTAGCTTACACAAAAGACGCAATTTACGCGCAGAAATACTAATTAAGACACACAAAATACAGTCACTAATTACTTTAATTACGCGCACACAGTACTTTATGACTTGTCTTCACTATTCGCACTTTATAGTCGCGTCTGGGCTCGCTTATATACCCTGGGAATAATTTAGAAAGATGTTCGAGAACTCTCTAGGCAGGATTGCTACTGATTAGTGATTGCACAATTCTAGAACGTACGTACTCTTTATCTCTTTCGCACATTGCTCCGTACTTGTCGTACGGCGTTCTAAAGTGTTTAGTCTGGCTTCGAGAAGGTTCCGATCTTCCCTGTCCCACACCTAGAAAATTCGGTCTAGAATATTCCTTCATCAAAAATTTTATTTTAGGTAGTAAAAATAAATATGAAAATATGCTAGAAAAAATTATAAGAACGAGTTTTTTTATTATTTTTAACCATTGTTAGTATTAGTTGATTTGTTTTATCTATTTATTGACACCTAACAGCGGCAAATACAATTATATAGGTATCACGCAAAATAAATAATAAGTAGGTATAGGTACCTATCATTTTCAATAAAATCATAAAGTAGCATCTGTTTCGTTTACATAAGTACTCGTATTACATAAGTACTTGTACTCGTTCCCGGTTTGATTTAAAATTTCATGGAATCATTTTTTTTAATCAAATATATTACATATTTTTAGTTTTTACTAATATTATTAATGCGAAAACTTAAAGCTTAGTTTTGGGGAATGGTTTTTTATTTTCGTCGTGGTACTTAATTGTATCTTGGCGATTAAAAAGAGTGGCGGAGAGTTTATTGCCAGTTCGTCTCTTTCGTTCTTCGCCCTTGATTTGAGAACTGGCAGTAAATGTAAAATTAGAAGCATTTAATATACATATATTTCTTTTTCGACCTTCAAAAATGTACATTGTGTTACCTAGATGAATAAATGATTTTGTGTTGCCAGATGGTCTCGGCGACGTACCCCTAGACTAATTTGATTTCCCCCCAGAAATCTAGCAGCGGCGGCCTTAGGGACTAAACACACTTATTCAGCTCCATTCGCGTTTCGCTGAACGATTTTAGTCACATTTATACAGCTCTATCAGCCGTGTACGGCGTCGTAAGAATGAGAAAAGCCATCATAGCGTGCTATCTCCGCCGGAACGCTTCTGTTTACTGCGTACGGCGCAATATTTTTGCACTAACAATATAAGTTTCTCTTCGTCGATCATTTTTCGTAAAAATAAAATAATTATAAAACACGTCTGCACTTTTTAATCCTTGCGTACATAATGATTACACAATAATAAATCAAATCAATGCAGGAACAAGACAGGTCGCAACATGTCGACAAGAAGTCGCGAAACATCCCTGTAGAGCTGTTCCGCCGCGTTCGACGTTGAATGCGGCGGAACAGCGCTGAACGCATTCTATAGCAGACGCATGATAAAAACACATTTATCCTCATTTTATACTGATTTGCCGCGAAAGCTGAATTGACGCGGAAAGCTGAATGGTGCGTACGCGTCTCCATACAAAATCGTTGTTTTCTATTGACAAACGTTGAATAGAGCTGAATAAGTGTGAGTAGACCCTTAGGGGGTGGCGTACAGGGTAATCGCCCGGGGCCTCGCTCTTGCAGGGGCCTCGCGCAACAACCCAAGCAAATTTAAAATTAACGATTTTTTTAAACTATTTGTTTTTAAATTTAAACTTTTGATTTTAATCCTCAATTAAGGTTATATATAACATAACTGTAAATCAAAATAAAGTTAACTAATTCATTCACTCAAAGATAATTTAAAAATTAATTATATAGTTCTTGAATATCACGCCACCATTCACTTGAAGATAGGTTTTTTAATCGCATAGCACTCGGGAGTTGGGACATAATGTTCTGCTCCTCTATCGCTCGAGGCATCCATCCATTTCATTCATTAACTCTTGTCATCTTAGAATTATTTTGCTCGGAGTTTGAGTTACAAAAGTTACTGAACCATACATATCTTACAATTTTATTGAATATTACGTTCATATAGTATTTAAAGTATTGAGTGAGCTGGAAAAGTGTGAATTATAGTATTTGAAGTATTGAATAAGCTGAAAAAGTGTAAAAAAATTCTGACTGTTTGTGCAAAACAAAACAAGATTACCGAAATGGGTTCGCGTGATTGTGATCTCTGTAGAAAATTTGAGTCAGGTAGTTCAAAAAGGAAACGAGCTATCAAAAAAAAGCAGGTAAAAGAAAATCTTCGTGGATGTTTAAATAAATATATAAAAAGTGATGATCAAAAAACCTCTACAAAACATTTATTTTCTGAAAGTGACTCTTATCCTGATCCAGCTGAAACATTCCTTCCATCATAGGTGCCGCCGCGATCAAAAAGTAAAATCAGTGAGGATGAATTAACTACATCATTGTCTCTTAGGTCACCGGTGCCACCATCAACGCTATCCAGTCAAGAACACGAATCTGAGCCAGATTCTATGTCTACATCCATGACTGCTGGAATGGAAAGTTTGAATCAAAATTACTGCGGTTTGTGGCCCATAACAATTACTGATGTAGACCGAACTGAGATTGTATTAAAAAAGATTCGAGTGAGACAAGCGGCAACTTTATAGATTTAGTATCTATGACAGTAGGAGAATCATACGATATTGATTGACACGAATTGACGAAGAACTGTATATATTGTTAGAGCTGGTAACACTTATTCTGTTCACAATGTTGGCACCTAGCCGTTTCGCTTTGTTACTCTGTTGTTTATAGTCATCCTAGTCTGTACTCTGTGCATACCTAGTTCACTTCCTATTTCCGATTTCGTGTTATTCGGATTTCGGCTTACATCTTGATTTCGTGGAACGCAGTGTTTTTCATTAATTTTAATTTTTGTTTACTTTTAACGTTGGCATTGAGTGGTAAGTAAACATTTATTTTAATTATTAATATTGACTATCATCAACTGCTAAAAATTATAATGTGTGTAAATGTGATAGCCGAGTGGTGGTAAGTGCCGCCGACGGCCGACCGCCATATTGTGAAGTCCTGATAACCGCGGCGTGTTGAGATCTTCGGTAGGTTACTTTAGATAGTATTAATTTGTGCATAACTTTTAACTACGTCAATAAATTTAAAGTATTTCTTCCCTATTTATTTGCTACTTATTATAGGCTATTTAGTTAAAGTTACTACTAAAATTCGTAATAGCGCGTGGTGACTAGCGCGAACTGCCGCCATTCCACGTTCCTATAGTTAGGTTATCGATTTTAAGTAATAAGTTACGTTGTCTTAATTCCGGTGTGTGATTTACCCGATGAGCGTGTTTAAATATTGAATTGTGTTGTAATAATATAAATATGTAATCTATTTTGTTATAATTGTTCTAAATGAAATACTAAACTTTCCAATTTTTAAAGGTGAACTCTTATTTTTGAATGACGTGTGTATTAATCAATACCTATATTTTATTATATTATAACGTAGTTCAGCATATTTAGAAAGCCTAGCTATGTTCAAAAGAAGCAATTACCGGTAAATAATCTCCTAACAGCCACCCATTACTTAATTATAACTTTACGATGATTAAGCTAATCAATATGTGTAATACGCATTATATTTCAGATCATCACAAAAAATGGTTGGCTCCAGGGTCTATGTTGGTGGTTTGCCCTTTGGGGTTCGTGAAAGAGATTTAGAAAAGTTCTTCAAAGGATTCGGTAGAATCAGAGATATCCTTATCAAGAATGGCTATGGATTTGTGGTAAGTGCATACAGCATTGTTTAGCTTTTAGAGCTGTGTTGACACCTATTCAACTATAAAAATTAGTAGAAAGTAAATTATAAATGATTTACAATATTTTAAATTGGGTGATGTTGAAACAAAATACTTCTGGTACCACTACAATTATTTAATGCATCAATATTTATTAGATTAACAATTGGGATTACTGTGCATGTTACATATATCATGAGGGTTAAAGGTTGACAAAGACTATTGAATTTTTATAGGAATTTGAAGACTATAGAGATGCAGATGATGCTGTTTATGAACTCAATGGAAAAGAGTTATTAGGCGAAAGGTAAATATTATCTGTCAAAATTTTATAGATACTTAATTTTGTTGTACCTATAACAGTAGACATTTGAAAATAAATTGTTAATAATATAGCTATATTCCTAGATTTGTTTTTGTGGGTTAAATTCTATGCGTGGGATAAATTCCTGTTTTATAGAAACTGAAGTTTCTGAGTAGTTAATCTTGAACCTAGACTAAAGAATTTAAACTTACTTAAAAAATGTGATCAAATAATGCTAGTTCAATAGTATTATGTGATAGCATGACTAATAATAAACTTTTTTATCAGCCGGCTCCACATTTTGAAAGAAGTGTATGGAGGACGGATCATTTTATACACTATGAAGAATGAAAGTGACTGAATATTGTGAGGTTGAATATTTTGATTGAATGTGGATTTTTGCTTTAGGAAGAATTTTATTTTTCATAGCTATTTGATTTTCTGGTTCAAGGAAGAACCAAGACATGTTGTTGTTTATAAAATATGCAGATGAAAGGAACTGAACTTGTGCAAGATGCGGCTTTTTATTTTAAATAAAATTTGATTGCACATCTAATAAAAGCTCATAATTTTTTACTTACCTTTCAAAATAAATTGAATATAAGGAGGGCTTTAACATGGCATGACATTGACAGAATAGATTTCCTGAAGTCAGAGTATTTATTGATAATCTTTGTTTGGGCACAGTATCTGCCTGCTATTTCTATGATCGACTGGTATATTTGAGAGTTGTACGTATGCGAGGTGTAAGTGGGGGCGCGGTGTATAACATCGGGGGTATGCTACAGGGTCGTGGTGGAGCCGGCGAGGGGCATCGACCGCAGCGCGGACCGCTACCGGCGTGACCGCCACTACGAGCGGGACAGAGGCCGCTCTCGTTACGAGTGAGTATTGTTGTAGGGTGAGCGTGGAGCGGGCGCGGGGCGTGCCGAGGGGCGCAGACCGCTGGCGGGGAAGGGACCGAAGGGCCCGACCGCAGAGGCCTCCCAAACCACCCGCGTCTGTATACTGCTACGCTTTACATGACACAACACTTACCTTCAGCTAGGGGACATCACCATACAAATTATTGAATTTGCATTTGTCTATTGCTAGAAGAATCTATAGTGCAAACAATGTGAATTGAGCAGAGTTGTCAATACTTGCCACAGCATTAAATGTGCTGTAACTAAAGCACTCTGACACCTAAAATAAAAATAATATATAATACATACAATAATTATGGTCCATTGCACAAAGAGCATCTAGCATGTAGATGCACATAATTCTTAAAAAAAAAATTGTACTATCACATCTTTCCACATTACATAATTAATTTTACTATTATTGCAGCTTGTATTCGTAAGTAATCCTAATTATATTGTTCACAATTGGCATAACCTTGAGTGGTATAAAGCAAAAATAACACAGTTTGTGTATTTAATTTGCAAGGGCAAACCATTTTGTGTATTTATTCATATTTCTGTATTTAATTCAAATGGTTTTATAGATTATATGATATAGATTTTGCATTATTTATAAAATAATAATGTTTAAGTAAACTATGTATTGACAATCACACCTGGTGTTACTATTTTACAAAACTTCAAATATAATTTCAAAAGCTCAAAGAATTAGTTAGAATTTTTTCTATCAAATAGTATATTTTTGAATTACTTTTTAAATCAAACCCCCAAGCACATCGAAAGTTATAAATACTTTAATAAATGAGTTGGTTAACTGCAATATTTTAACATGTGTACCTTACTGTTCAACTGTTATAAACATTTTGTATCAGAAATCAAAAATATTACGAGATTATTGTATAAACTCTCATACATCAATAGTTAAACAAAAAGGATAAATAGATTTTTTATCATAGTCTCTCGACATTTATGATAGAATTTCTATTACAGCAACGACAACAATTACAGATATGGGCCGCCGACGCGTACCGAGTATCGGCTAGTCGTCGAAAATCTGTCAAGCCGCATTAGCTGGCAGGTAAGAGAATGAGCAGATCCAGCTCCATCATCATCCATCATTCACCCCAGGGGCAGGACTCAGGGCAATCCAATACTCATCGCTGAGGGCTTGGTTATCTGTGGCTTGGAGCACACGTGGCAACTAGGGAAGTCGGGAACCGTAATCTATCCGTGGTCAATGAGGAAAACCATCGAAGATATAGAAACTATGCAAAAGGAATCGTACCGAGACCGTAGATCGATCAGACGAGGAAGACGGAATACCAATCCAAAGATGACCCGGACGTACTTGAGCGCCGTTTAAATTAACAGTAATATAAAATGTAAATTTAGTAATAAAAACATTTTTTATTAACAGTTACAATCATATTTTCTATTTTTGTTAAAAAGACATGCGAGCTCATTTTTTTAAATAACGACAGAAGGTGGCGTTTCTGGTCTGTGCCCTTCCACGATAGCCCGTGTGCGATGTGATCTGGATGTTAGGAGGGATAACGGTGTTGGCGCCCGCTACCCTTGAGGTTCCCCTGGCTTGAGGTTGCCCGGACCCCGTGTGCCGATGGCCTCAGAGGACCCGACCCCAAGGTAATGTCAGGGGGGCACTACAGGAGCCGTTTGTGCAAACCCATTGTAAATTCATTCATCCTGTCATTTTCCTTATAGCGATCTAGTGGCTATATTGGACTTTTGTTTGTAAGTGTCTGTACAGCTTTTCGTAGATTGTTCTTCCCACAGTGTCATTGCATGATGAATTGCAGAACTGGATAAAGTTCAACATAAAAGGAATCAGGACTTGTTGCCAATGCCAAGAAGGCAAAGTTTCACGGACTTAAAAGAACCTCGAATCGAATCTTCGTCGAATTGAATACTCTAGAAGGAAAAATATGGAATCTCGCCGATCAGCAGCATATTAGGCCTATAATACCTACGGAAACACAGAACGAAGAAAGCAAGCTGATGCCAAGAAGGTTGAGAGCAGAGATGTATAGCAGAAAAAAAGCAATGTTGAAAACGACAATGAAAGACAGGTAGAAATTAGTTGAACTCATGGAAAACAAGAAGATAAGCTGACTTGATAAGTTGAGGAATGAATTGATATTTGAGTAGAAACAAATAAGAGATAAAGGCTTCGAAATTATATAGCAGACACGTGGAATCCAGTTTGGACATTTTAAAGGCTTCGTCAAAGAAAAAGCAATGACCTAGTGGATAACTGTTTACGAAACTGTATTTGACACAATTTAATTTTGTTTATCACCATCAGGTTATCATGGCAGGTATCGTAAGCTAGATTGGATTTATCATGATGATATCGTTTTTTACCATCTTTCGGGGCTGACAACCTTGATGACAATATCGAATCTGACGACATTCCTAAGAATTTATTATATATATTTTTTTTGTATCTATCTAACATGTACTATTGGTTGGCAGGACTTGAAGGATTATATGCGTCAAGCTGGCGAAGTCACTTACGCTGATGCGCATAAACAACACAGGAATGAAGGGTAAGTTTTCCTTTACATTCAAAAAAAAGTCTACTAGTTTTCAGGCAATCGCTAAGTTTAAGTTTTATTGCCTTAACAGTGTTAGTAGTCATATTTTAGCCATAATATGGTGATTGATGGCTTTAATTTTTTTACAATTTCAATTTGTACTTAACCAAAGGTAAGATCAATAATTGTCTTAGGTTATCTTTTATGATGATATCGTATTTTTACCATCTTTCGGGGCTGATTACCTGTGAATTATAACATTTACTCTGAGTATCACCTGTTTAAAATAAAATTTTCTTATTTGCAACATTTTCTAATTAATATAAATTTCAGTGTCGTTGAATTCGCGACCCATTCGGATATGCGGGCTGCTATTGAGAAACTAGATGGCACAGAGCTGAATGGCCGCCGTGTTCGTTTGGTGGAGGATCGTCGCTCTTCTCGCCGCAGGTCACGCTCTTCGTCCAGCCGCTCTAGGAGTCGCTCCCGTGAGCGTCGTCGATCACGATCGAGGTAAATTTACTGGGGAAAATGTAAATTATAGAATAGGGCCGTCAAATTGGCTTTTATAATATACCTGAGTAGGTTGGCTCGCGGGTATGTAAAGGCCACGCTGAGTCAAACTAAACTATCGAAATGGGGTACCCCTTTACCCACTATATATTATTATCGAAGCAGACTTATGTTTTCAAAACCATACATGAAATGATGATATTGTTCTTTAACCATCTTTCGGGGCTGACACCACTGACTGATAAATCTAACACTGAGGCTATTTGTCCTACTTTTATATATATATATTTTATCATATCATCATACTTCAGAAAATGTATATTTTTCAGGTCTCGTTCTCGCCGCTCGTCCAAGAGCCGCTCTCGTTCTAGATCTCGCCCGAAGAGCAAGAGTCCGGTGGCAAAGTCTAGATCCAGATCTAGATCTAAGTAAGTTTTGTATAAATCAATTTGCAATCCACTAAGACGGGACACTTACTTGGTAAAAGCATCGAATTTGAGGCCTTAACAAAACTTACACGACTTTATATTTTATTTAGTATTGCGAAATTAAGCGAAAAAATCTAACGTCTTTGTGGATTGCACCTATTCAATGTCACAAATTATTTTGGGAAATGAATTTATCAATGATATATTCATTTCTTGTTTTTCAATATCCCCGAAGATATGCATGTACTGATAAAATTGTATCATACCTAAATGAGCAATGCACGGTTTCAATGTAATTAATATAGAGTTTATTTGGCTAGGTGTGTAATTTCAATCGCTGAGCAAAACTTAAAATCGTAAGTATAAAGTATATTAGATATTGTATCTCGGGGTATTTATTGTAGTTTATGTGTTACCGTGTAGTTTTTCAACATTTCTTTTTAAAACGACGGATATCGCGACACTTTTGTTTATTATTTCACAATTAAATATACATTTGCAAGTTCTTCAGCGACATACAAATACAAATGTAGGAATTGAAATTACATAATGCCAAGTATCTGTCTTAAGTCGGAAACGTTGAGAAACATGCAAGTAGTAGTAGCTAGCTAATAATCCCGGGCGCCTAGGGAACGCAGCCGCTCTAGATCGGGGTCCAACAACGAGGCGAGACAATCGCGCTCCCCGGTACGCAACGAGACCAACGGGAAATCCGCTTCACCCTCGCCCAAACGCGAATCCAAGTGAGTACACGTCCTATGGCCCCTATTCCAAAACTTCATAATCAAATGTCCAGATTTGAAGTTGCTTTAAACCATTTTATATGCGAATATTCTAACGGCTCATGCCCACGAGACGGTTCCAACCACACGACGCCGGCGCTAGCCCCGGCTCACCGCGCAACCGAGCACGGTGCTCGCCGCGTCTACGGCCGGTGCGCAGTGGAGTATGGCACAGTGAAACGTCGTGTACAAACCGTCTTGTGTGCTAGCTCGGACGGTTTCTACCCGGCGCCGGCAAATAATCGACCCGTGTTGAAATCGTCTCGTGAGCATCAGCCCTAATACTCATGTTACACATGATTTAATCTAGAGTTTAGAATTTGGGCCTTAACAACTGCTTGTGTTTAGGTGCTGATATCCAAATTTAATAGTTGCATGGATTTTATACAAGCTAGATAAAATCTAGGTGATGTTGTGGTAATTATGGTGAATAAAATGTTGATATTTCTCATACAGCATGAAAAATATAAAAAATACAATTACATACATAGCTTTAATAATATTTTTGTAAGTCCAATAGTTTTGGTATGATTTTATATAAAATAGGTTCTCACATGATATGCAACTGCTTATAGATAATACTAATTTGTGACAGCATACTAACATATCTTATTGACTGTATTGATGTTGGTCCCAGAGACTTATTAATACAACTACTTGTTTTCTAAGTGTTTCAGTGGTTATGCTATGATTGATTCACATTCTTTATCTGTATTAAATATGTCAACTATACATATTGTGAATGTTTTTGAGGAATAGATTTAGCTGATAATCTTAATGTATAGTAGTAGTTGGTCTGTCACATTTGTTGTTTCAAAATGACAACAGTGATGAGGGAAAAGGTGCTTGATGCATTTTGTACATATATGTATAAGTTAAATAGAAATAGCTAATTCACACAGTCCAAAAACCATTACATTACCCGGAATTTAGAATTATTAAAATACTTTAAAATTCAACATCCAAATTTGCAAAAATGCACCCAAGCATTAGCAAGCATTTCACTAAAACGTTTTAACATAATAAATATCCTAACGCAAAATTATTTTATTAACTTTTGTTATGTTTCCTGCTTCGTAAAGGGATCCCACCAAAAGGTGAGCTGTACAATAATAACTATCACACATTCTCTTATTTGCAGTAGCCTAGTTAGTAGCTTTATTATTAAAAAATTAAATTTGGAGAAGAGGTAAATAATGCCAGTTTTAAATTAAAAGCATGTGTACTTTCAACCAAAACTTTGAAATATGTCTTATTTAGGTATATTTTTATTAGACCCTTTTTTGAAGAAGATCGTCCAGACATTTTGCAAAATTTCTCATGCAACTAGATATTCCATAATTACACGTTCTTACAATATTGTACAGGGTTAAAATAATTGTTATGAAAATATTACTCTTATCTTTCCAAAAAATTTATGAGTCGAAAATGAATAATCATTGGTAGTAGTAATTGTCAATGAAGATAAATGTAATAAAAAATATAAGAAGTTGCTTACTACAGGCTTACGTTTATGTTTTTTGTATGTTGTATGTATTATTTTTTATAGGGAGCGCTCACGTTCTCGTTCACATAGCAAGGAGGCTGTATCCCCAAAGCGAGACGAGGGTAAAGTAAGCAAGTCTCGTTCCCGTTCTCGCTCCGGATCCCGTTCAAGAAGTGGTTCTCGCGAGCGTTCTCGCTCAGCCTCGCCCCGACAAAACGGAGAGTCACAAGAGCGCCGTAGTAACGACCGCTCACCTAGAAGTGGCGAATAAGATAAAACGCACGATTTACTTTAAACAAGGCCCCTTTATTAATTAAAAAGTTTTATTCTGCATTCAATTTTTGTATCTTATTATTCTTATGTTCGTACAATGTCTGCTTGAACATCTATTAAGTATGACTACTATCGTAGCCGATACTGCCAACGGTTTGGGAATGCAAAATTTTTCATTGATTAATAAGGAGGCGAAAATAGGATACTAAAAGTATGAATGTTCTCTTTTTGTTAGCGATATGATATGTATGAACGACAAGGGTTGCCAAACAATTGTGTTACATGTTACTATTAAATCCTAATGGACAAAAATCTGTTTAGGGTCTATTCAAAATTTATACTATCTCTCAGTATGAAAGCCAAAAGGTATTTTAAGTCCGTAATTGGGTTTGGACTAAGGTTTGATATAATGTATTGATGCATGCGGTTTTGTACTAGAATGTTAGATCCATGAATCAGACATAGTACAAACAATATTTTTAATTTGCAAAAACCTTACTAGATATGCTATATACTTATGGTAAAGTATAAATTTACTATTAACAACATTTTGACAACCCTATAAATATATAGGTTAAGATAATTTTGTAAATACGGTTTTCGATTTAAGGCACCAAAAATAAAGTATTAAGATTACAAATTGTTAATTTTATTGAGCATCCTTAATATAAATATAACACAACGTTTTTTTCTAATATTTATTAGAAAAAAACGTTGTGTTATATATATAAGACAATAGTCTTTATTAAAATAGCAAACAAGAGGCTAAATAAAACTTCTATTTGTTTCTCTGTAAATAAAGAATGCAATTTTATTTATCGAGTAGGTTACACACTGATACAATCCTTACAAGATTAACACAATCTTACCTGTAAATAAAGAAACGACAATAAAAGTTCATTGTTATCACCTCTCGATGCATATAGCTTAACTAAGTATTAAATTAATTTACAAATAAGATTAAAATACAATTCAACAATCTCAGCATATTTGCCCTTTACGTCTTTGACAATGTCAGCTAGCTTGACGTGACACGACGCGGCTCACTCACGAACTAGCAGTGCGCGCGAATATTCAAATTAAAGAGATCATTCTCTTTACATCTCCCTCCTCCAGGATGAGAATTGCTCCAGTAATTCTCATGGTAGCCGTACATATTATTCAGCGTTATCCATCATTTATTCCACCGTCCATTCGAATAAGTTTTGTTATATGGTATAAGCTTGTATTAGTTTTTGTTCTGCCTGTGTTTATTTTGTATATTGTATTCGATATTTTGTCTGTTATTTCAAATGGGCCGATTCTTAAATTGTCCATTTTCTTCCTATTTAATTTGTTTCCGTTTTCAACATATACCAGTTCTCCTATGTTGAATTCCCATTGTGTTCTGCCTTTATCAAATAATTTCTTATTATATGCATGTGATCTAATTGATCTTTCAAGTGCTTGTTGTCTATTTTGAACCCATGTTTCTGTATCTAATGGTTGTCGTAGTTCTTGTGGCAAAATACTGGTGACTTTTCCTTCTAATAGATATACTGGTGCAAAGCCTGTCACTGTGTGCTCGGTTTCATTATACTTATCTATACATTCTCTTGCAATTGACGTCCAGGATTTCTTTTCATTCTTCTGATTTATTTTGCACCTCATTTTGTTAACCAGTGTTTGGTTCAATCTTTCGTTGAGTCCGTTTGAAAATGGTGTATCTACCGCAGTAAATATTAGTTTAACATCATTATCTGTCAAAAATTCTTTGAATTCTTTTGAATTTAATCCTGGATACTGATCTGCTAGTAATATCTCAATGTTTTCCGTCTCCAGAACTTTTTTTACTAACTTGATGAAATCTGAAGCATTTTGCGTTTTTGATGTCAGAATGAACGCAAATCTTGTAAAATGATCAACTAACAAATGTAGGTATTTCTTTGTTGATCTTTGTCCTCCAAAGCCACCAATGGTATCTATCGACATTATCTGAAATGGTTTTTCGGCTGGTCCCAGATGTGACATTAATCCGTATTTATCCTGGCCTCTCGATTTATTTTTTATACAGGTTTCACAATTTTTGCATATTCTTTTAATGTTTCTCGTTAAATTCTTTGCTGTATAATAAGGACTGATTTTATTTATCATTTGGTTGATCCCTAAATGACACCATTCGGTGTGTGTTTCCTTTATTAATTTCACACTCGCTTCTTCAGATAATATAACTTTTTCTCTGTTTCGATCTTTTTTGTATAGTATCCCATTTCTTTCGATTATTTTGGTTTTCTTTTCCTTTATTTTCTCGTTTTTCTGCTGATCTGCCTTAATATCATCTATTGTTATCAGATTCACCATTTTTAAAATTTCTTCATCATTATCATTATCTTCTAATACTGGGTTTCTACTGAGACTGTCTGCTTCCGTATTATTCTTCCCCGGAATATATTTGATGTTGAAGTCATATTGTGACAAATAAAAAGTTAATTCACCAAGTTCATCGTCTGTTCTAGCCTTTATGTTGAGGTTTTCTAGTGGTTTGTGATCCGAAAAAACGGTGAACTTTCTTCCAATCAACCAATATTGCCAGTATTTGATAGCTTCTTTTATTGCCAAGCATTCAAGGTATATTGCCTTCTTTCTTTTTTGTGAATCATTGAGTTTTTTTGAAAAATAACCAACTGGTTTTTCTTTACCATTTTTTTGAATCTGTTTTAATATTGCACCTATACCATTCAACGAGGCATCCGTGTAAATTGTAATAGGCAGGTCTTTATCAAATATTTCGAGTACCGGTTGTGAGCATAATATATTTTTTATATTAGAAAAAGTTTCTTCACATTCTTCTGACCATATAAACTGGGCATCTTTCCTCAATAATTTATGTAGTGGATCCAATAATATCGAACTATTTGGTATGTATTCGTGGTAAAAGTTAATCTTTCCCAGAAACTGTCTAATATTCTTTCGGGTTTTGGGTGTTGGGAAATTTCTTATTGAAATAATGTTATCTTTGAGCGGTTTTACCGTATTATTTCCTATTATATGTCCTAGGTATTTCACTGATGTTGCTGCAAATGTGCATTTTTTAAATTTTAATCTGAATCCTTCTTTTATTATTGCTTTGAGTACTTTTTCTATGTGATCTATATGTTCTTCAAACGATTGTGAAAATATTAAGATATCATCAATGTAATTTTCTGTGAAGTCTTTCAAGTTATTATTTCTTAATATATTTGATAAAATTCTCTGGAAAATGGCAGGTGATGTTTTCAATCCAAATGGTAGGCAAGTCCATTGATAATGTCCATCCTGTGTGACAAATCCTGTCTTTTGTCTGTCCTCAATACGTAGTGGTATAGACCAAAACGCGGAATTTATGTCCAGTGTGGTAAAATATTTACAATTTCTTGCTTTAACAATCAAGTCGCTTATCAATGGAAATGGTTGTGCTTGTGGTATGACTATCTTGTTTAGTTCACGAAAATCAATACAGAGTCTCGATTTTGTATTTTCATCTCTTTTAAATGCCAAGGTAACTGGTGCTGCGAATGGGCTGTATGATTCCTCAATTAAGTTATTTTTTAGTAAATTACCCACCTGTTTTTCTATTTCTATTTTGTCTTCTAATGTGCAACGATATGGTCTTTTGCTACAGTACTTGTCCACCATTAAGTCTATCCGGGCTTCATAATCTGTTACTGTACCTACATCATATTTGTCTTTGGCAAATATAGTATTATAATTCTCTATTAAATTGTGTATTCGGGACTTTTTGATATTGTCCAAGTGATGTAGATTTGTTATGAAGTCATTTTTATTCACATGCTCATTAAAATTGACTTTAATTTCCTCTATCTCTTCAAATGCATTCATAGTATTTATCTCCCTCTTTGTCTTTTGTAAAATTTTTAAATCTTCATTTTGAGCTAATTTAAATTTTCTTATCATATCTAGTCCTATAATGAAATCTTCAAAATCCAGTTTGTCTACAATAAAAACATCAACATATTCTTCTATATCAAAAATCTTTACTTTTATTCTTATTAAACCTTTTGTGTATGTCACACCATTGACAGTTCTTAATAATATTCTATTTGTATCCACAGAATCATTCTGTGTTCTAACTAACCTTTTGTTTATCAGAGACACTTGTGAGCCTGAATCATATATTCCATTTATTTGTATTTTGTCTTCTAATAACATATTTATTTTTATCAATGGTGTGATTACTCGTTTTTTGTCTCTTCGCTTAGATTTACTTCTATAACCGAATTACTTCCAATCCTTTTGTTATCTGCCCTTTCTTTTTTAAACCAACAAGACTGTTCTGGGTGGTATCGATTACCCTTATTTAAACACTGACAGGTTTTGCATGGTTTTTTTCCTAAACTGTATTTCTTATTGTCATCTTTTTCTTCCTTTTTTATTTTGAAGTTTTTATTATTTACCAAACTTTCACATTTACTTATTTCATGAAGCAATCTTGTTGAGGTTTCACACTTTTCAGGATCAATTCTGTTTCTAATAAATTCAGGTAAGCCGGCTGCTATAAGTGTGACCAGACTTTTCCCGCCAATATTTTCATCCATATCTAATAATAACTTTTCTTTTCTAATGGCGTATTCCATCAGTGATCCTTCTTTATATTTGTAAAATATGGCATACATTCCCGAACTCCATCCTTTATCGGCAAATGTGTCCAAAAATTTATTTTTCCACTCGGACCATCCAGCCTCGATTTTCAAAGTCTTCAATGTTGCCGAGTGCCAATCTGCACATGTTTTGTCCAAAAATAATCTTAATATTTCTATCTTTGTTGTATCTTCCTCAATCTCAAATCGTTTACATTCATTCTCGAATATTTCTATCCATTGTTTCGCATTTGAGAATTTACATACAAATTTCTCAATCATGAATCTTTCTGATATATTTTTCAAATTTAGTAGACCCTTTTTCTGCTGTGTGGATTCTACAATATCTGTTTGTTTTTTTTCTTCTTTTAAATATAGGTCG